CCGGCAGCCCGCGCGTGTTCCGGGATAGCGACCGCGTGGTTGGGCTTGGGAGGGGGGCGCTGACTGCACCGTGATTAGGCGTGAGGGCTGAAACCCCTCCCGGTAGCGCGGACACCAACACAAGCACCGTCCTCCTGAGCCACCGGGGTGTCACAGGCGAAAGGTGGGTGCTAGAGAGGTTAGGGTGGTGTTTGTTATTTGAGGTTCAGGGGAGCACAGTCGGGATTAAGGAAGGTGATTTAGGAAGGCAGGAACCCGCTCCTCCCCTTTACCCCAGCTGCCTGCCTGCACGGGCTCGACCTGAAGGTGCAGCTCTACCCCAAGCTGGTTTATAGCACTAGTTGTCCATAAATAACGTAGTAGTGCCAAAACCAACCACCCTGTTGTAACAACACACACTGAGTCTTTCACCACTCTTCAAATCCAGGTTAACTCACTGGGTCTTTCACCACTCCTCAAACCCAGGTTAACTCACTCAGTTCCAGTTGTAAGTACAAAGCTATCAATGTAACTCAGTTTTACAACTGAGTGCACAGACTTCAGGTCTGAGCCAGGGCTCCCCTTCCCCTGTATTTTGACACTGCCCTTGAGAGCCAGAAACCAGAAGTGAAGGTCTGCAGCTGGAACCAGAATGTTCCCAACCTTGGTCTAAGGATGGTGAAGTTTTAAATAACCCAAGACTCTGAAGCACAGAACATAACAGTTTATTGGGTAAAAAGAAAAGCAACTTCAGTTGTACACATCAGTGAAATGAAAAATAAATAACTGATTTTTAGAGCCAAATGTTTGATCAAGTTGCTATTATTTTGAGTGGCCACATGTTTACCAAAGAGGGGCTGCCCGTGACAGCAGAGGAGCTTTCGTTGCTGGGACAATCCACCACAGCCAAGGAAAACACAGCTTTGAGTGGATTTCTTACAAACATTCCATGGGGCACTTCTGGAGCTGACCACCATCCTGCAATAACAGATCCAACTCAGCCTTTAAGAGAAGACAGTCCAGCTCGCATTATTTCATCCACCAAGAGAATGTTGCTAGCGATCTCCGTGCTAGAAATAGAACAAATAGTGTTAGAAGAGCCACTGGACAGAGTTCAAAGACAACTCAGCTTCATTTCCACCTTTCCAGACAGTTTGCCCTATGCAGGATCCCTCCATTCCATGTTATCAATGATCAAACACCCATATGAAGTGAAAAATAGCGTTAACACTTACCACGAATGAAGCAGTTGCTTTTTGACATTGTAATTATCCCAGATTCCAGCTGCTGCAGCGACCATTGGCTCACCTGCAAAAGAAGTACAATGGTCTTTAAATAACAGACTCATAGAATTCAAAGACCTTCCACTGTCTAACATGTGATATTGCTACATCCAGCAGTGCTACCATGTCCTTTATCTTCACAAGGAACTTAACAGAATACATTTAAGTATCCCAGCGTGCCAAGCCTGCAGCACCAGGACACCTGCACAGCTTTTTATGGGAAGAGGGATAGCTGTCTGCAGTCAGAGCAACTTTATTCTTCATGTAGTTGATCCATGACAAGTTCTTACTAGAGCATCGTTCCATTAGTTGCGGAAGTTCTTACCAGTGTTCAGATCAACCCCAGTGAGCTGTCCCGACTCCGCATGCTCCGTCTGAACCTTCACTAGTGTTTCCTGGGGATCATAACCAGCATTCTGAGCGAGAACCTGCAAGAGAACAGACACATTAATTCATGTTGTTAATTAAGAGAGACCTCCAGCAGGAAACGCGATGGGTCCTGGCGTGCTTTAAAGCCACTTTATTCAGGAGTTCCTCGTACCTTAGGAACGATGAGCAGAGCATCAGCAAAAGCCTGAACTCCAAGCTGGACTCTTCCTTTTACATTAGGTTTATGTTTAAGAAGAGCATTAGCTACAGCCACTTCTAGTGCACCTGCTCCTGGAACCACACATCCTGCAAGGGAAAACTCGACAGTGAGACTTCACAATCAGCACCTATCCCAATTTAAACAGTACAGTTTGACCTCTTCCTTTACCTTTTGGAAGACAGCTTGTGTCTGATGAGGTAAGTACTTACACAGTTAACTACTTCTGAGTACAATGGATAAGAACAGTAATGCTAACTGAAAGCACTTCACACTGCAACACACTGAGCTTGGTGTCTGGCTGCATGGGATACCAATGAAACTGATAGAAAATTCACTGCTTTCAAGGTTTCAACAGAAGATCCTTAATACCCCTAAACAGAGGAGAGACTTACCATCCTCAATAGCGTTTTTAACAGCACGCAGACCATCTCTTACTGCATCCTTGATCTGTGTGAGCGTATGCTTATTTGGTCCCCTGATCAACAGGGTGACAGAGCGGGGGTTGTCACATTTCTCAATAAAGGTGTATTTCTCTTCACCCTGTGAAAAACCACAGGGTTACATATTCATGTCGTAATTTGCTCAATGTATACACACAGTAAGAAAAATTGAACACTTTCAGATTCGGTTCTGCACTCAAAGCATTTGAGAAAGTGATGAGAAGCGTAAGAACCTTATTTCTGTTTTTTCAACTTTACAGATATGAAGAGCACAGTATGGAAATAAGAGGAAAATACACTACCATAAGAGCAAACATCCAGGTAGATGTTCACTTACAAGTGGGACACTGGGATGTGAAATGCCACCAGCCTCTATTCACGCTCCAATAAAACTATTAAAACATGTAAGAAAAATCCATGCATGGATGTATTAAGACAAAAGAAAAGGTGGCACCAAGTGAGGTGTACTTAACCTGCCTTCAGCTGAAAGCTGTGTCATACTCACCAACGTATACTCATAGACAAGCCCTGCATGTCCCAGGCAGTCAAGAGTGAGATCGTCCAAGGAATTCATGGCAGTACCACCACATGCAAGGGTCAATCTGAGAAAGAATGTGTACAGCTCAGCACTTGCTTTGTATCAAGTACTACCTGAAGTCACTAATGTGACAGCAGTACTTCAGCATGCAGAACACCACACTGCTTGGAGCAGATTGGTTCTGTTCATGAAAGAGGCTCTTCACAAAAACAAGCTTGTAGAATTAAGTTTCCTCTACAGGCATCTAGATGTGAAGAGTGAGACAGCTCCAATTCCTGCATCACCCAGTGTGCTGAACTGACATCTCTACAGGTTGTACAAACTACCACTAAGTAACACCACCAAGAGCTGGAGAGATCGAAATGGACTTTTTAGTACATGTCCTTAAAAGCCAGACTTGAGTCACTGCTCAGGTTTGGAAAAGCATGTTATTTAACCCTCTCCTCTCCCCAGGAACTGACCTTTCCATGTTCCTCCTTTTAGCTCTCCGCAAAGCAACTATTCCTTCTTTTGCAAGTGCATCCAAGGAAACAGGGTCAATTCCCTAGAAATAAAGGAAGTGACAATCAGGATAAAGAAAAAGCTAAACACACTCTCTCTCAATCTAACACTAATGAGTAAGTTCTCCCCCAGGACTTAAAGATCTCAAATAGGAACTGTATGCATACATGCATAAGTACATCACCCTAATTTCAGCTATTTCTGTCTGCAGAATGGTACACAAAGGGAGTCAAATAGCACACGGCTGGCCAAGACAGCCAGCATTTCAAATTCATTTTTCTAGCTAGTTATATCCTTCATCTCACCTTCTGGTTGATCACAATAAATCCTTTATCTGAACTGCCACAGACTCTTCTTTTGAAGTCTGTGATTTTTTTCACTCTGTCTTCAACAAATTTTCTTTCTGCCTTCACAAGCTTCTCTCTCTCTTCAGCACTTTTATAGAAGAATCCAGAGCTCACCTCTCTAAAGGAGGAAAAAACCCCACAACAATATTGAAAAAGCAGTAAGAAAACTCTCCTCTATGCTGTAGAAATAAACTTAAGTATCATTCCTTTCAGCAATATTCTAAAGAAATGAATATAGAACAAACAAGGCACTCCCCTGTCCCAGACCAGCATAATCTCTGGTTCAGAGCTTTTCCATTGCAAGAAATAAGGCACATATTTGAAACTTAGCAAACTCCAAATTACGTATTTAGATGTTGCTCTAAAATATAAAGTTACACCCAAGAAAGGAAGGTCTTCCATCTTTTTCTTCAATAACAAAACCAAAACCCACTATGAAGCTCTGCCTCTCAAAGGCATTTTCTCAGCCACTAGCTTCCCTTTCCCAAAAGAGGACTGCAGAAGGAGCACTACCTCTTCCATTCCACCTTCTACACTACCTGCCTTGCTGTGGAAAAGCCTACACAGTCTTTTTGGTTCTTACTTAAGCACACCTTAAACAAGTTTTAGAAGACAGGAGCATTTTCTGCTCCTTACCTTGTTGCTGTGTACTTACGTTTTCTCATATTCTAGAGATACATTGCACGTAAGAACATAAGCATCTTCCATTCTTTTCTTCATGTCAGGATGACGAGCACCATGGTCCAAAACCAGCCCCCTGATCAGCCTGAAAGATTAGGAAGCGTTTTGTATGTCAACACACACATACAGGAGACACACATTTCATGGAAGTGCAGGCAAGTCAGAAAGTGGATCAGCTGCACTGTCGAACACAAACTGCCTGTGTTGGGAGTTAACAACCATGTATTCCACTTCCAAAGGCATGCCCACTCACGTAAAAAGCATACCAGGCAGTGTGAAAAAGGAATTTATTCTGGCATAGTGTCTGACTGCATTAGCTACTGAGGAAAGCTAGTGCAGAATTCATCCATGCCTATGGAATTTCCAACTAGATGACTACAACCCAGTTTCCATTCATCCAACGCTATTTTGTACTTGTAATGGACTGATACAAGCCTAAAGCATAAATGAGCTACAGACACTGACTGAGAAAATAAAGTATTTATTCAAGTTGCTGTGTAAAAGCCTAAGCCAGTGTTACCCTTTGCTATTCAAAAATCCAAGTTCTAAAAAGAAAACAACTCCCCACAAACTACTCAAAGATCAGGGCACCATTAAACTGAAGCTCAAAGATTCTCATTACTTACGTTGTGTCAGTTTCTGATTTGTGCTTCATCTCCATAATCTCTACCATGTGGAGGTCAATAGGCTCATCTGGTTTTCTGATTATCAAAACAGAATCTACTATAGCCTGGAAGAGAGGGAAGGGGGTGGGGGAAAAGCCCCAAGACAACCATTAGTCTTCCAAGGTGCAAGTTCACATCTTTCCATCCACCTTTCACTCAAGTAATAATCACCAGCTCTGTAAAACCTGGGCCTCTTCACACTAAAAGAGGCAGAAGACACAGACCTACCTCTGTGAGGATGTCAGCAAGCTCTGCATGAACTTTAGTACGGAGGGATGTTCTGGCAACATCTATAAGGGTCTCCCTGTCCATTTCCTTGGTTACTTTCACCTGCTCCAAAACTTCAAGTGCTTTTTCCTTTGCAATCTCAAATCCTTCTGCTACTATTCTAGGGTGCAAACCCTAGAACAAGGAAAGAAATCACTAGACAGCAGAAGACAAAATAGTACTTTCTCCTGAAACAGAACCTGCACTTTCAACACTCCGTGTCAAAACATCCTACAAAGACAAGAAAATGTACTGTCCTTCTGAATACATATAAAAGGAATGCAAATCCTTCCAATGCAGAGGAAAAGTACAGATTCCTCTAGCACAGAATTGAAACCAAGGGAACTACAAAGCACACTTGGGTGTTCACTGTGCAGTACAAACACCTATTCTGTAACTGCAACATCCAAAATACCTGCTATCAGGGAACATCTCCTTGTTAACACAGAAATAAAAGCAGCATTTTAACTCGCACAACACAGAAGTAACAGCAGGTATCAGACAAAACCTTATCAAAAGCTACAGTGTCAGTAAGTGGTCTTAAACAAGTCCTCCACTCCAGCTTCTCCCCCTTTTTACAAGTTCTGTGATACACACATTTTAAAGCAGAAACACAGATTCACTTTCACGTTTGACTTAAGAGTATTAAGCATCCAACAAAACAAGTTGAATGGTCTCAGATGAAGCTTATGACTTGTCCACCTACCAAAGAAATGCTGCATACATACCTCAGAGATATAGAGGTCTGCCTGCTTTAGGAGCTCACCAATGATCAAGACATTTGAGGTGGTGCCATCTCCAGTGATGTCATCTTGTGCTGTTGCTGCTTTTGCTATCAAGGAGGCCGTAGGGTGTTGTATTTGCTAAACAAAAACAAGAAGCTGAGCAGTAAGTCTTTCTGCACTGGTACAGGAAGCACGTAATCTGCAATCAGCTAAACAAAGTCTTTAAGAACTAGTCGGTGTTTTCACGATTCATGTCAATTCAGCAGGTTTCAACAAGGAACACCAGTAATTTTGACAATAAATGGATTGAATTAATCCATGTAACACTAATTCCCCCCTCAGATTATGCATCTATACACAGAAATGTTGAGTGCTGAGGGCCAAACTAGTCATCACGTCATGATTAGCCTGACAGAGCTTTTCTCTCCTTTAGGCAAAGGATGCACCATCACAACTGGACTGCTGCTGGCACTAAACCCAGCATTTTTAGAGCTAGTTTAGGAATCTCTGCATGATGACTGCTGTACATGTCCTCGCTGGTTTGCTATTCCTTTGGCAGTTTATTTTACTTATGAAACTAAAGAACATTCAGTTAGTTTGTTTCTTGCCAGTTGCTCTGCTAAGTAGTGCACTTGGTGTTCCAGCTATGAGCATAATAGCATCTAGTGGAACTAGATGACCTTAAGGTCTTTTCCAAACCTAACTATTCTATGATTCTATGATCATGCTTGCCCAGCCAGACTTCACAACCACCATATGTGACCTTGGGTTACTTACAGAGAACACACACATCACTTAGCATCCCCTTTGATTGCCTGAAGAGTATCTTAAAGTAGGCTGAAGCCTATGAACCTACAGAAAGGTACCTACAGTTGAAAGACTGGTGCTTAGTAATTGTACTAAAGTCCTGGGTTGGAAAGGACCTTTAAAGCTCATCTGGTTCCAACCCCCTGTCACAGGCAGGGACATCTTCCACAAGAAGCTCCAAGCCCCTGTGTCCAACCTGGCCTTGAACACTGCCAGGGATGGGGCAGCCACAGCTTCTCTGGGCACCCTGTGCCAGCGCCTCAGCACCCTCATTGTGAAGAACTTCTTCCTAATATCTAATCTAAATCTCCGTTTAAAGCCATTCCCCCTTGTCCTGTCCCTACCTGCCCTTATAAGAAGCCCCTCTCCAGGTTTCTTATTGACCCCTTTATGCACTGGAAGCTGCTCAAAGGTCTCTCTCCCAGAGCCTTCTCTTAATTGGGATGAACAAGCCCAACTCTCAGCCTGTCTCCCCATAGCACAGGTCCTCCAGCCTCTGAGCATTTTCATGGCCTCCTCTGGACTCACTTGAGCAGGTCCGCATGGTTCTTATGTTGGGGGCAGCCAGAGCTGAACACAGCAGTCCAGGTGGGTGAGTAGAGAGAGTGAGATAGAATCTAATGGGACCATTTCTTCTGCCATATACCTTTTAATTATTATTTCCTTTAAAGCACTACGTCTAGTACGAAAGAACCAATTTAACAATCTTTTTCCTGTCTCCCAGCTCACTGTGTACATGAACTTCAACACTTCATGCTGAATTACAACAGCTAGCAGAGTGCAGTACTCCACAGGCAGTAACAGGCCATGCTCAGCTGGAGGCACATTACAAGCCAACAGCACCAGGACCCAACCATGAGGCTGGCTCCCAGCATGCGAGACCCAGTGCAGTGAGTGGCAGAACAGCATCACCCCTCCTGTAATCTTCACCCCTACAGTGTGGATATTGTGAGACACCTCCTGACTCAACATGCAAGAGGTTTGGGCTGCATCTGTCTCCTAGTTCTGAACACTTCCCAGGCCATGCACCCATGGCAAACTCCACTATCTTAAACTGCTCAAGCACCACCGAAGAATGCTTTCTGTAAGCAGAAGATGACAGAAGTGCCAATATTGTTATTTTAACACGTTTCCTTTTAAACTGCCAGATTATAACAGAAACTTCATTCAACACCTACAACGCTGCACTTTACCTTCCTCCCAAGGCACTGAGCCCTCCATGCACAGTGGTGCACGCCACAGACATGCAGGGGCTACGCAGAACGTGGTGGCCCCCAGCCACAGGCACCCAAAGGCCATACCCAAGGTTCCCCCCCCCCCCCGCCGGGAGCACCAGAACCAGCTCACCATTTCCTGCAGCAGCACGTTGCCATCTTTGGTCAGCTTGATATCCCCAGAGGCCGACACCAGCCTGCGGGCGACACGAGGCGGGTGAGCAGCGCCCCGGCCCCACCACCCGTGCCCGCCCCAGGGCCCGCAT